CCAAGGGTTAGGGGATGGTGGGAGGGGAAGGGGAAAGGGAAGAAGGGAAAGGAAAAGTTATGAGAAAGAAAAAAATGGAATCAAACTCTGTAAATAGGGAAGGGTGGAGGGGGTAAAGGGTGCATAGGTAATGGGAGAAAAAATAAAAACTAAGATACATCATGTTCTGGTGCAAACACCCAATGATAAATGTAAATGTATTTTATACCTAAAATGTACCGATAAATATATATTTTTTAAAAAAGGCAACTGGTTAAATAAGTACAGTGCTCTCAGCATGAAATTCAATACAGACAATAAGTAAAAGGAAAAGTGTGGGAAGTGCACATCCAGTTACAGACAGATATAATGTGATCTCCATTTTGTTTTAAAATATATATACATACACAGTTTAGATTCCCACCAAAATGCCGTAAATTATTTCCAGAGCATGGGGGAAAAGTTTTTTTGCTCTTTACACTTTTGAATTTGCTAAAAAAAGTATTGCTTTTGAAAATCTCTCTAAGAAGATATTTTGACAAACAAAATATGTAGTGATGAAACGTGGCAAATACCTGAGCTCACCATCCAGGTGAAGAAAGAAAACAATCTAAAGTCTCCTATGTGGCCCACCCTCAATGCCTAGGGTCTAACGTGAAGCAGGTTTGAAAGTTTGATATTTAGCATTCATGGCTTGAGTGGGTCTCTTTGTAATTAAGATATCATAAGGCATAGCACTAGTTGACAAATTAGTTAACATATATTTTGAGAATTAATGAAATATTGGATGGGAAAGTGGTTACTATAGTATGTAGCACACTGAATAGTTTCCAAATGATGGCTTAAAATATAGACAGGACCTGAATAACCACAAATCAATTTTTTATTGGAAAGTTACTCTGTGCCACACACTGGTTAAATGGTTGATGTGTACTGTGTCATTCTGTGCTCAAAACTTTGAGGCAGGGACTATCGTTTCTGAATTTTAAAGTCAAGCAACAAGGCAGGGACACACAAGTGGCAAGCGGTATTCTGCCTGTGCTCCAGTCTTAGCCATCTGATCTCCCTTCTTCTCCTTTGCAGCCTGTGAGGGGAGGGGAGGATCCGATGCCTTTGCACAAGCCCAAGAGATCCCTTAGGCCTAGCACAGGCTCAGAGTCAATTTTTAAAAGCAAATGAATGGAGTTTGGGACATAGCACAGCAGCAGAGTGCTTGCCTAGCACAGACAAGAACCTGGGTTCAATCTCCAGCACCCGACTACCACCCCCCACCTCAATAAAGACCCAAATCCCTGTTGTGGCAGTCATGCTGCATGGTTTCAATGAATGCTGAATTAGCATACACTAAACCACTACCCCTTGGGGAAATGTAAGGTTAGGAACCTATGAATTTCCAGTAACAATACTTCCATCAAATGATCAATATATAACCTTATCTTATGGGTATTTCTGCTGAAAGACAACCTAATTCATAGATTATATTGATTGATAACATTAAATTCAGGTCCAGTAGCACTATAGCCCATATTTTCTCCAAAAGAAAAGTCAGACTTCTTGTACTTGGGGCACTAGTTGACTCTTCAGCACCATATTTGGTGGCATTTAAAACAGTGAGGTTACCAACAAGAAGCACAAAAAGGCAAAAAAAAAACCCCTCAAAACATGACACTAAATAAAAGGCTAAAAGGTATCCTCTGGTCCATAGTCTCTATATTCCCGATTAAACTTAGGAAGATGGAAAGGCAAAAGACAGATGGCACTAATAACTTTTCCTGATATAATTCATCTCTCCCCAACATCTAAGAGCCTAACATCTCAATGCCCACTCACTCATTCATCAAACTTCAGTGACCACATGTCAAGTATTAGACTATCACAACAGAACAAATTATGTCCATTTCTCTTGGTTTCTAAGACTTTAATTAAAAGAGAACATAGCAAAGAGTTCTAAACCGAGGGTTCTCAGCCAGGGTTTTTTCCCCCCTCCAGGGACACTTAGAAATATTGGGAGACATCTGCCATTGCCACTACTGGGAGGCTGCCCTAGCACTGAGTGATGCTGCTAAGAATCCTAGAGTGCACAGGACACCCCCGCAACAAAGTCAACAGTACTCAAACTGAGAAATCCTGCTCTAAACAACAACTGCTCTTATCTTGTGAAAAGTCAATGGCATGGGAAAAATAGGAGAGAAATATTCTAAAATAGGACTGATAGAAACTTCTGTGAGCATGGACATATTTTTTAATCTGTGCTGTTCAAAGGTAGCCATAGTTAAATGAATAATAGAGTGTTTAAAATGTAGCTAGTAAAACTGAATTGAATTTTACATTTTAATTAATTGAAATTTAAATGTATGTAGCCATACAGACTAGCAGCTACCATATTGGATACAGCAGTTCTAGAATAAAGCTAACTAAAAAGAACTATACCTAACTGCACTGTATGACATTCAGCTGGAATTTGAATAGGAAAATTAGCCATATATCACATCTTGAGAACAGCAAATGAAACTGGACTAGCAGTAGACAATATTAGGGAATTGTTATGTTTTGGTGTGATAAATGTTTATAATCCTTACTTTTAGGATATGTCGAAGTGATAAAGGGTAAAATGTCATGCTGAGTGTGTGAGATTGGAGATTACAGAAAAACAGCAACTAAATTCAATGTGGAATTCCAGACTGGATTCTGAAGCAGGTCAAGGACATTAGTGGGAAAACTGGTAAAATCTGTAGTTTAATTATTAGAACTGTAAATAATGAGAAAATCTGCAGTTTAGTTATTAGAACTGTAACCAATGTTAATTTCTCAGATTTAATCATTATACAATGATTATATTAGATGTTGACACTAGGGAAAGCTGTCGGGAACTCTCTATACTATCTTTGCAAGTCATCTGTAAGTCTAAAAATGATCGTAAATATAAAGTTCTAAAAATTGCCTTAGAGCTAGGGGAATTTTGCAGGAATTATTTATATACTCCATGTCGTCATCTGCAATCTGCCCCGCCTACTTCTACAGCGTGTTTCCTCCTCTCGTTCTTCTTTTCACCTGCCACAGGCACTAGGAACAGGATGAACTCACTTCACACCTACTCCACCCCTGAAGATAGTCACTTCCTTATAAAACTCCTCCTCTCAGTCCTACCCCAGCCCAAACCCAGATTAAGCTCCCTGCCTGTGAGTGCAACAGCACTTTTGCCTTTCTCTTTGGTTACATACATCACCCCTTTTTTCACTTTCTTGCCTGATGATGATGTCTTCCCTACAAAGCAGTAAGCAGACTCCATGAATTCGGCAGCACCATGTTTACAACATCACAACTGCACCAGGAAGGCAGGCACAGTTCCATGTCAGAACAAACTTCGGGGAGTACTTTAAAAGTTGGTAGGATCATAGTCACGTGACTGCAGTTTCTGGCACATGCATTCAGTATTTATGAGGGACCAGGATACACTGGCTAACCAACAGAGATGGTCCTGGCCACACTAACTGGGAAAATGAGTTGGTTAAAGAAAACTAGTTATAACTATGATGTTTGTCATCCAGCGTAGTAGAGGAAGCCCAGGCAGATTTTTGCTCCTTACTTTCATCTCTTGAAGTATGGCTCTTCACAGGAGAATAAGGAATTCCCAGTCTCAAGGGGGATGCCTGCATCGATATCTGGGGGAAGCCTGATTTTCTAGGTCTCAGTCCAAATATGATCCCCTCAGGCCACCTCTTCAAACTCTGAGAGACGTCTGGCCAGCTCCTTAATAAACCATTCATTCACTCCACAAATATATCTTCCCCCCTTTCCCCTTTGCCTGCCTTCCTTCCTTCCTTCCTTCCTTCCTTCCTTCCTTCCTTCCTTCCTTCTTCCAGAGTCTCATTATATAGTCCAGGCTGGCCTTAAACTCACTATGTAGCCCAGACTGGCCTTGAATTTGCCATCCTTCTGTTTCAGCCTCCCGGAGTGCTGTGATTATAGGCATGTGGCATGTGTAACCATGCCCAGGATCAGAAATGTCTTTTGATGACCATCTATGAGTTAGGCAGTCCTCTAGAAACTGGAGATAAAACAATGAACAAAAGCACAACATATCTGTCCCCACAGAACTTATAATCTAGGATGGAAATAGATAATAAAATAAATCAGTATCATATAAGAGTATTCTAGAAAGAATAAAAAATGAGGAGGAAGAGGAGTATAAAAACTACTGATTATTCCTGCCCAGGAGTATAGCAAGGTGGGCCTTTTGTACATCCTAGCCAGGAAGACCTCAGGATAGTCAGTGAGGATGTGAAGGAGGCCCAGCCAGGGGCATGTCTGCAGGATCGGCCTTCTGGGGACCGAGAACCACTGATGTAAATCCCTGAGTCAGGACAAAGTGGCGTTTTTAAGGTCCAGCGTGGAGGCCATGTGGCTGGAGCCAAGTGCCCAATGAGGAGACAGCTAGGGTGCTGGTCCTCCTAGTTCCTGGGTGGGCTCACAGACTTATAGGCCATGACGGCCTCCACTGAAAGAGAAGGCAGCAACAACAGCTTCTCACCAAGGCTATTTCACTTGGAAACTGACTCAGATGCACTGCCAACTTGTTACTCTTTGCTCTATCATTACATGATAAGCCAGCAATCCGTGATGCATACTTACTAGGCTCTATTGGAGTTCCACAGCCAGCACAGAAAAAATTCTGGGATACTACCCCCAGCTCTCTCCTGAGGACAGAAAATGGTAATTATTATATTTCAAGAGGCAGCCAGATGGAAAATTTTTCACTAATTAGAAAAGCAGCTGTGGTATGTTTCTTGGTTTAGGGCCTTAATGTTATCCTTTTTCATTTGAAAAACTACATTATATTCCATAGTTTTCTAGTTTAAATCTCTAGGTATTTTTCAAGCTAGAACGCTTCAAAAGTCTCAGCTACTCCCAAAGCAGAAGTCAATACCACAAATTATTATTCCGCTTATGGATCTTTCAGGGCTTCTCACTGCCCATGTACAAAAGTCTGTCTCCAGAGAGAACTAGAGAAACATTACAGTAGAAGATAGTTACTCAGACACCAAAAGAGGTTATGCTTGCAAAGTTCACAAATGAACTTTGTGTAAAACATGCAAAAAGTCTTAGATGAGTAAGAGATTATATGAGACAAAGTTATCACACATCTCCAGTTAAGAGATATGTCATGAAAATTTATTTTTTATATTGAACTGTTGTGCCATAATTTCACATGTGATTTGGAAAGTGGTAAAATTTGATTGCAGTTCAAGTTCATAAAAATGATGGAGGTAAAAATAAGTTAAGTCTCTGCCCATCTGCCTCAGAGAGGACTTAGGGAAACCGCTGAGAAAAGATATCCCGTGCTAAGGAAAGTGGCCCCTCACAATGCCTAGAGAGCTAGCTCTTCTGCTAAGTAGCCCCACAAACTTTTGCTTCCCCACCAAACAAAAAGGCAACAGGAAAAGACCTATAAACCACCTCCATCAGCAGTCAACCCTCATTAGTGCCTTCATAACTCTTAGAAGTTTGCATACCAAATTAAATACAAACAAAGAGACATGTAACAGTTATACTTAGTGAAAATGTTTCTCGCCTATAATCTTTGTCTATAATCTGTCATATACTCTCAGAACAAATTACAATTAAACTACTGCTTTGTATGTGTACGCATGCCTATACATAGGTTTATGTCCTTCTTCACAACATTTTAGTTGTTTTATTTTTTAGAAATTTAGTTATTCCTTAGAGTAACTCAAGATATTTTTATTTACATTCTGTTACATTTCTCAACTACAGGAGATTTCTTCAAGGTTAAATTTTATTTTTTAAATTATTGCATTTGATCTCTCAGTTTCAATATTAGCCACTTAAACAGCCCTTCTAATCCTATATAACTTTCAGTCGCTATATAATATTCATAATTAGGGATGCATAGTCACATTCTCCACTTGTCAAAACTTACAAAAGCCCCTGAAAAACAAAATGTTAAGAAAACTAAGTTAGAAAAATACACTCAACTTTCCTTTTTCTAAAAATAAACTTTCCTGTGTCCCTCAGCATATTTTTTCTTTCCTCTACTTCCATAAAGTTTTAAATGGCTGGGTTCCAGACAGCAGCCCATACGTACGTGAGTGGTGGATGAATATCAAATACGATTTGAAATCTAGGGGGCACCCAGTCTTCAGTTCCTCCAGTCCTAGAATTCAGTTTAATTTCCTGTACATCCATACCTGACTCAAAGTCTTTTTGGACATGCTCTTCATTTACAACCTGCAAAACACGTAAGAGGATTTAAGGATACCTCAAATAAGCATTTTTAAAGAGTTTAACTAAAAAGAACATTGAAATACGTTTCCTAAAATTTACCGTGAGAAACTGAAACTGTTTTCAGCTGAACTAAAGAACATGGCAAGGGCCCTGTGGCACCCAGCTAAGATGACTTTTCTTTGTATTTTTAGTTTAATAGATCTGCAAATAGATCATTTTGACTTGGAATATTTCATGAGCAGTAGAAGCCTCGCCTCTCATCAGCAGACCAGCAGATGCTGCCAGCTGGAATCCTGCTGTGGTCAGGCTCCTGGGAAACAGCTCCATTTGGACATTCCCTGGCTTATAAACGCTCAGTGGGTGTGCTCAGAACCATTATACTTTCCATTGTCATTCCTCAAATTAGCATCCCATGTCCTCCACAATTTAACCCCTTGTGGATACACACAAACAGGCAATACCCAACTGCACCAAGTCCCTGCTCAGCAAGCTGCTAGGCCCCTTCTCTCATCTCTGCTGCCCTCTTCCAAGAACACCTTCTTGCATTTTCACCTGCCACAGTGCTATCCAACCTAAAACTAGTTTCAAGTTTTGAGATCTCCAATCAGATTTCCCAAGTTCCCCTGAAAATATTAAACTCTCCCTCCCCTGCACTCCCAGAATGCCTTGTCCTGCCCTCATCCTTTGTCACAAAGTCCTCTAACCCAGTGGCTGGGTCCTTCAGAGGGCAGCACATCCCTGAGGGAAGGAGAGTTAATTATCAAATTAGCAGCCTGGGCATGACTCCCGCTCTGCTTTTGACCATCCCTGCTGAGGTCTCGGTCCAACCCTTTGAAAAATAATGAAATAATAAATAAATAATGAAATAAATGAAAATAACGAAGGCATCTACCAATAAGATCTACAGAAGAACTGAACTGTGAACTGCTGAGCACAATCCCTGATATATATACAGTAAATACTCAGTATATGTCAATTTTGTCATTCATTTTGTGTTTCCCCCAACACCCAGAGACCAAACAAGGAAATATATTTGAAGTCAGTGGGTGAGGCCCAATGAGAATTTAGGAGCTTCTGATTCAAGGTCAATTTATTTTAATACTTACTATTGAACTGGCTGCCTTCGGGGAACCTGCCAGCTGATAATTGACTACTGAAAACATCCAGCACTTCTGGAACACTCGGTACAACTCTCTGGCTAATCGCTCAGCAGAATTGAAGTCTGGGTCATAAGTACCACTGAAATGTAAGAAATCCAAAAAGTAGAAAACTATATGCATGAGAAATATGTTCAGGTTTTGCTCAGGTTATCAACTGTCATCCCATCTCCGTAACTCAGAGGAAGCTGTCAGGTGAAACCATGCACCAATCACTGGCTGGGGATCTTGTGCAAAATGGTTTTTTCTCATGTGAAATTAATATAGCATGTGTTCTTTATCAAGGTACTAAGAGTTGGAGGTGTGCGGAAAAGAGCAATGGATTTAATGTCAGAAGACCTGAGTGAAAGGAAGCCCTACTTCTGTTATTTAATAGGATTGTGACCTAAGAAACATCCTTTTAGTTGCTAGCTCTATATAATGGGGTTTAAGAATAAATACATAGACATACATGAATCTTGCCTGGCAAATTCATGAGAACTGTAGCAGACACCTCTGCCCAGTATTAGCAGGCTATAGTGGCACAAGCTTCTTGCCCTTCCATAATTCGGCTGTGTTACATTGGAAGTAGCAGAGCTTGGCTGAGTTTACTCCCAGTCAAGGTCAACTGACTCCAGCTAAATTCTTCCCCTCTGAATTAACCGTTTGTTCTCTTCAGCAAAGATGCACTTGTGCCTTCATTCTACAGTCCTGCCTATCAGCAGGTGTCCCAAGGCCTGCCCAGCTTCCCCCCTTCCCATGCTTGTAATAAGTAAACACTGGATGTCCTGGAGGTCTTTGTCTTTGCTGCCCAGAGCAGCTTAGATCAGCCCAAGTCTCAGTTTCTCTCAAGTCTCTATCTCTGTTTTTTCCATTTCCCAGTTTCCTATCTCACAGATGTTGTACTGGCTTGCAGGAGCCCAGGACCACTGCAGGGGTCCCTGGTAACATCCCCTCTCCCCCTCTCTATAAGAACTAAATGAAAATATATACAGAACCCTCCTATACACTATTAAACCTTGAAGAAACTTTGGGGGGGGTGGCTAGAATATGTGTAGTACTGCCCCAATTGTGAGATGGTGGAACTTTTGGAAATGGGCCTAGTGGGAGGTGCTTAGGTCATCAGGGGTGCAGGACCCTCCTTCCTGGCTGACATGCACTTCAGCCGTGACATGCCACCCCCACTGCCCTGACCACAACTGAGCTGATGTCATCACCATGCCTTTGAACTCCCAAACTGTGAGCTAAATAAAACTCTACTCTTTAAAAGTTAGTTGTCTCAGGTATTTTGTTGTAGTAACACTAGGCTGCAGATGTGGGGGGAGTGCTAGATTGATTTCTATGTTTTATTCCCCTCATTAGAACTGGCTAACCCGGCCCAAGGTGTCGGAGGCCCAGTGTTCTCAGTGGATCAATGTGTGGCTGCATGTGGACAACAGATACCTTGTAGAGGAGCTGCAGGAACATCTATGGGTTTCTATGATATCATTAAACTCTCCAAGTTCTGTGGGAAAATGAAAAAATGAATAGTGAGACTTTTTGGTCTGTTCCACTCAATCACAGCACATTTTATAAGAACGTAAAACCAGCTCCCTGCAGAACCAATTATGCAGTATCTCCATGCTTTAGGTCCTTCTGAACTGCACATTCAGATTTGCCAGTTGAAAATTAACCACTGACAACCTCAGGAGACTACAGATAACCACAGAAGATGAGATTTCATCTGAAATGTCACCAAAACGTAACTGAGAGACCAAAAGGATAAAAGATCACAGTGAAAATCTGCTTTTCATTCATTTCTCCAAGTGAGATGAGAGATTAGCTATGAAGACATCTGAAACAATAAAAGCAACCGCTTTTTAATGTCAGAGACATAATCTGGTCTTGGAGTAAGTTTCTTTGAATGCATGGTATTGTGTGTGATGTGTGTGATGTGTGTAAAGGAGAGGGAGAGGCAGCCAGTCATATCCAGTGAGTTTCCAAATCTTACCTAAAATGACAAATTCATCCAAGTCACATTTGCTGGCCTCTTTTGGCACATTATGGTAAGAAGGTGCTTCAGCCATTGGGCTGGCCTGTAATACAGCACAACCTAGAAAAAGAAAAGAGGGATTTGCCATCAAGAAGAAAAAGAAAAACCATGCAACCTCAGCACCCAACTAAACACAGATCTGGGAATGAAAAGGCTAATGAATTACTTTAAAATAATAAAAAATTCAGTCTCAAGGATTAAAAACTGTAAGAAGCTATTCTGTGCTTTTACGTTTGCTATGATTAAGTGAAATAAAAACATATTTGGATGTTTCATAATAGTAATCTGCCTTTAGATATGTTTAAAAATTTCCTTAATACAAAGATTAAAAATGAAAAATGAAAGAGGGCCTCAGGTATAGCTCAGTGGTACAGTGCTTGCTTATCATGCTTGATACCCTGGGTTCAGAAAAAGAGAAAAGTAAAAAATAGTGTCAGCTTCACAGTAAGGCAATCAGTATAGAGACATAAATGCTATGCTGGGTTTGGTAGTGTCTCTCCAATTCTTGTTCACCTAGAACCTGGGAATGTAAACCAGGTACAGTGGTGTACAGCTGTAATCACAGCTACTTGAGAAACTGAGGTAGGAAGATCACAAGTTTGAAACTAGCCTGGACAACTTATGAGATCTAGTCTCAAAAGAACAACTTTTGAAAGGACTACAGATGTGGTTCAATGGTAGCGGACTTGCTTAGCATGCATGTTATGGCTTGTGTCTAGATGTTTACCCAAAGCCTCATGTGGTCATGGGTGGGGCTTTTCCGAGGTGGCTGGTTCTAGAGTGTGTGGTGCTGGGATTATGTGTGTGATGCTAGAATCAAGGATATGTGATTACTAAATTAGTCCACTGATTGGTTTGGCATAGTTCTGAGAGTGGACAATGGGAAGGCCCTCCCTGGGTGTGAGTGCTACTCTAAGGGCATGTAGCCTGGACAGAATATAAGGGACAGGAAGAGGGCTGCTGTGGTCATTTGCTGCTTTTCACTACTTTGCTGCTTTGCTGTCTTCTGGCCACCATGAACTGTTTCTCCTCTCTCATGCCCTCTGCCATGCCAGCCTGCCTTGGAGCCAGCCACCTTTGAACAACTATGAACTGAAACCTCTACAAACTGTGAGCTAAATAAACTTTTCCTCCTTTCACTTTGGGTGTCAGGTATTTTGTCTCAGCAATGGGAACAGTAACTAAGACAACATGCAAGACTGAGAGTGGGGAAACACTTGTGAATACAGCCTCCTTTGGAAATAAGAGTCTTTGCAGATGTAAAGGTGGAAAAACCAGCTTTCGGGGGTTTGTTTTCTCCTTTAGAAGGAAAGGGATGTGGAGGAATAAAGATAACTGGTTCAGACATAGTAAGTCAGAGGTTAACTACACCCACTATAATTATATCAGCAATGGAGAAAATGAAGTGTTCTGAGCCACCCAGAAATGCATGTTAAATTAGAGGTCCTGGGGGGCAGTCAGAGTATCTAGTTCAACAACTCCTAGCCACAGAAAGGAAATGCTTAGTTGAGAAGTGTGGGGCTAAAAGCAAAGACTGGGGAGACATCAACTGAGGGGTAAGGGGTGTTGTGAAGTGCATAAAATCTGCCAGAAATGGAACACAAAAGAAATAGAACTGAAGACAGGACTGAATTTAGGAAACAGTAAGAAAGTAGCAAATGCTTCCTTCTGGGTCGCTAAATGAAGCAAGCTGAGCCAGAGACCCACCGCAGACAGTCCTGGCCTCCGCTCTTGAGTTCACCCTGCCGGCTGTGTTGGCTTCTGCTCCAGTACATAAGCTCCTGGAGGGAAGGCACACATCCTAGGTACCACCTGTTCCCAGCATTCTCATTTTTTGTTGAATGAATGAAAGTGGTTTGCTTGGAAGGGAAAGAATGATGTGTGCCAAAACAACGAAGAGGTAGGCATCAGCCATCGCCAAAAAAGAAAAGTATGGCCCCAATGTGCATCCATTTAGCTATAAATGTCTCTAGTTTGTCATTCTTTATGGCTGAGTAGTACTCCATCGAGGCCATTCTCTTAAGTGAAATCAATAGGACACACATGTGTAAATACCAAATAGTTTCTCTGGTGTGAGAAACTGAAAGTGTAAATGAGGACCAAAATGTATAATAGATAATGTGAAACAGGAAGAAGAGGTTCAAAGGGAAGGGGGAAGTGGAGAGGCGAGAGAGGGGGAAAGTAAAGAAGGGAAAGAAAAAATATAAGAAAAGAAGAAAAAAATGGAAACAAAGCTTTTGTAAAATAGGGACGGGTGGAGAGAGGGGGAAGGGGAATGGGGAAAAAACAAGAACCAAGATGTATCACGTACAGCTACAAATTCCCAGTGATGAATGTGATCATAATGTAGCCCTAAAATGTACCAATAAATTTAACAAATTTTAAAAAAAGAAAAGAAAAGCAGAGCAAAGCCCAAGGAAAAACAAAAAAAAGAAAGCATAGGATTTGAAAAATGGATGGAGCATGATAACCAAGACTAAGGCAAAAGGGCAGTGAAATGGTAGGGATTACATGGGTTACTCAAGAAGAAAGAAAGTTATGTCTGCATGTATATATGTCCATGGGACTGGGAAATGAACCTACATTCCCAGCCCTTTATTTTTTATTTTGAGACAGGGTCTCATTAATTTGCCCAAGCAGAACTTGAACTTGAGATCCTCCTGCCTTAGCCTCCCAGAGTGCTGGGATTACAGGCCTGTGACACCACGCCCAGCTAAGAAGTTTTAGACAAAGGATTTAGGGACATACATATGTCAGGACTTGACAGAAGAGAAAAGATGTGTGTGAAGAATAAAACTTCCCCACCTTTGCCCAACTTGCCTTCATAGCCACTGTCTGAAGAAGCGGAAGATCCAGACTCTTGCTTCATGTGGGTGTAAAAGGCAGCTTCAGAGTCAGCTTGGTCATTCCCAAGTGACCCGCTGGCTTCGTCTGGGGCCCAGATCTGTGTCTGCTGCTGATTCAGGATGCTACACTTCATTTTCTCCATTTCTGATATAATTATATCCACAACATAAAAATGGGCATTTTCCTGCAAGAAAAAAAATCCGTTAAAGTACTCATTAGCATAATCAACCCTTTCTCCTGGAGAATATTTTCGATTTGAAAAATTGAGAAGTTCCATGTAAGTGAAGTTAATATATATAAATCTCAGTGTTCACTTAACTGCATTTGTCATAGGTCACTTATGACTCATAACACACATCGCCCTGAGACAAAGTTTATCCTGTTGTGGTCAGCAGACAACCCACGCTGAATTTCTTGTGGTGGTGGCCCAACAGGAGATATCATTTATCAACCACGGGAAACTTTCCATCTGGGCATGATAGCACACACCTATGATCCCAGCACTCTGGGAGGCTGAGGCAGGAGGATTGCAAGTTAGAGCCTAGCCTGGACAATTCACCAACTTAGTGAGACCTTGTCTCAAAATAAAAAAATTAAAAATGAGCTTGAGAAGTAGTTCAGTGTGAAGGCCCTGGATCTAACTCCCAGTACTGAGAAGCAAATAAGCAAACAAACAAAAAACTCTCCAGCTGAGCAGACTCTGCCTGAAACCTTTCTGGGGTTTATCTACCACTTCTTGCAGCCCCTACCAATCTAATCTCAAAAGGAAACCTATTTACTGTGCCTCCTCAAGGCTACATTTCCAGATTTAAATCAGAACAGCACTACTTAAGGGATTAAGCTTATTGGTGCTTACAAAGAAGACAGTATTCACCTTTTCTGTGTCCACAGGCAGAACGAATACGTCAGGTGAGAAAGAACTCAAAGAAATGGCTCTTCTGTCTTGCACGGTACCTGCTAATATACCAAGTTATTAAAGATGGAGCAAAGGAAGTTCAAAGATTACCTAAGAAAACAAATCAATCCTAGGGTGCAGCTTCTAGAAACAAAACAAAACAACTGGCACAATTCTGGAGTAACAGGGTAAGCAAGGAAGAAAGACCCTTGAGATGTTAGTAGGTCTGCAAGATCCACCTTAGTAACGGTCATTTCTATGGGAGGCTAAGGGTAACTGGAAGTTTCCTCAGACATGGGAGCCCCACTGCAGTGGAGGTGGCCATGACACAGAGGGTGGAAAGCAGATAGAGTCATGGGAAACACCCACATGGGACGGGGAAGGCAAGAGAGGACAGTCCAGAAGCAGGGCCATATGAATTACCAGACCACTTGTCCAACTCAGTGCAGCTGACCCCACACTTCCTGTCACACACACAAAAGGATCTGAAAAACCAAAAGCGCTTCTCTAAAATTGTCTTTCTCTAGTCAGAACCAGGAAGAAGCTGCAGAAAGTGCACTCTGCTGAATCATCCATCCCTGTACTCTTGGGCACTTCATTACTGGCAATGACCACCATCAAAACGAGTACTGTTGGTCATGTGACTTTGTACTGTGGCATTGAAAGCAAAGATTTCTATGACAGCTGCAAGAGTTGAGTTATCCCAGCCTGTTAACTTAGAACAAAATGCTGCAAATGTCCTGGTGGTTATGAGTTCCCAGGCTGACTGCAATGCAAGCAGGGTTACTCAGATGCCTTGCCTCATGTTCAAGAAAGTGACTGCTGCATGGAACATGTGGACCTCTTGGCTTCAGAAGTCATCTGGGTTGGTGAACTTTTTCATTAAAGGACTAGGCATGGAATATCATAGGAATATCAGGGACTATCATACTATATCTGTGGCTACTTCTCTTCCCTGCCAGTGTAGTGAGCAAACATCTATTTATAAAAGTTCTTTGATGAAAAGAGAAAACTGGCAGTATTTAGTCCTCAAGTCAGAAGTGCAGACCTAAGCATAGAGAAAAAAGCATCAAAAAGCAGACAGAATGGAATAGCTCTCTGCTCACCAGCTGTGCCTCAGCTACAAAATTTTCTCATGCGGTAAACTGGGATTTTTTACTATTAGGACATTAAGGAGATAAGGAATAAATGTGTAGATGGTGACCAAAGAAAAGAAAAGGTGGGATTGTTTTCTACAGCTTCAGGAAATGCTTATAGGCTCAGGTGGTATTTTCTAGAAAAGGGAAACCCTGTTACTACCATTTGAGATGCAGTGATCCTAGGTATAGCCGTGTGTCAGTGGCTAATGCCTGTTCTTCCCATTGCTGCCCCACATTAAAACAAAGAACTAAATCATTCAGGACTTCTCTTTCTAACCCCATAGAATAAATCCCTTTACCAGGTTTCAGAAAGATTCTCAAAACACTGAATAACTTTATTTTGTTTTGATTTTTTGTTTTTGTGGAACTTGGGATTGAATACAGGGCCTCTGCACTGATCTACATCCCCAGCCCTGTCTACTTTTAGACAGCGTCTCACTAAGTCATTACATTGCCCAGGCTGGCTCCAACATTTGATCCTCCTGCCTCAGTTTCCCAGAGTCCTAGAACAGGCCTGTGCCACCATGCCCAGGTGTATTTTTCATTTCAATACGTGGCACTGAACCCAGGCCTTTGGTGCATCTTAGGCAAGCACTCTACCACTTAGTTGCAGTCCCAGCCCTTTTCATTTTTTTAAATTTTGATACAGGATCTTGCTAATTTGCCCAGATTGGCCCTGAACTTTCAATCCTCCTGCCTCAGTCTCCCAAGTAGCTGGGATTACAGGCATGTGCCACTGAACCTGGCACTGAATGGCTTTTAAAGGCGAGGAGGATTGCTGGAAGTCCCTGTCTTAGTGCTACAGGACCTGTGTTTGGATTTTTTTTTTTGGAGGGGGGTGAGATACAGGATCATTTTAAGTTGCAGAACTACTTGTTGTAAAGTACTAATTTTTTTTTCTTTTTTGGTACCGGGGATCGAACTCAGGTCCTTGCACTTGGGAGGCAGGCGGCAGAACCACTGAGCTAAATCCCCAGCCCTAAAGTACTAATATTTTGGGCTGGGATATACTAGGCCCCAAAGAAAATCTTCAGTCAGTGACAGATTATAACTTATCACTGTGATATTTTGTGAGAGAGATGGCTTGCCTCCCTGAGAGAATCTAACAGCAGATTAATCTCTTACTTGGCAACCACTAAATCTGCCAGTTACATTTTATCCTAAAAACTATCAAGACAACTGAGCAAAAGATAGAAAAAAAAGGTTTGTAATTTGCTGAAATTTGGTTATCTCAAAATCAGCCACTGTCCAAAGTCTGCTATCCTTAAGCTATGAATAATGTACAAAAGACTGTCATCATCTTTGATTTTTCAAACACTTCCAGTAGAAGAAATGAACCCTATATTCTGAATAAGGAGGAAGATGGGTTCCTGCTAAGGAGAAATAAATAAATATATAAATGGATAGGTAGTAGGCAAGGAGACAACTTTTTAAATTAATTTGAAGGAAAAATTTATCAATGATTTGAACTTATAGGGTTCTTATAGAAATATAAATAATGCAAAGCACAAATATAGCATAATATTTTAAATACAAATAATATTTTTGTTATGAACATAATGAGTATGTTTAAAAATAAAATAAGCATGCCACAAACAACCACAGCTAACTAATTGACTCTTAGGTGGCACTCTGCATGGATTAACTCATTTTAGGAATTTTAGTATTTTAGGAATATGTACATTATATCTCAGCATGCAAGCCCTTGTTTCAATAAAATAAAAGCTTCATATAGTCTTTATAAGGAATTGTGGCCACTGTTTTTCATCTTACTGTGTTCTCATCACAATCTGTACAGGTGAATAGACAGGCGAGGCAAGTTCATTGGCCCCTATAAGCAAGGTAGAAATGGAGCTCCTTCTGACTGTCTGGAAAAGCCTCCTGCCACTCACAAGGAGTTAAAAATGCTTCTAATGCTCTACCCTGCAGACAATTTCATGAGCTGTAAGCCCCACAAGGCAGACACCAGCTCAAAAAAGGCTCATGGCATCATCAACTCTGCTAAACGGAAAAGATGACCTTCCCCTAAAGTCTACGAACACAGTCTTGGCTCTCCTGCTGTGACCATCCAGTGTCGGGCTGGGGCTCACACTGCACGAGCTCATGCACTCCTTACAGTCAAAGCGGAAGCCAAGGAACTGTGTTCTAAGGGGATGACAACAGGCAGACCTTAGATGCAGACCAAGGGAGCAGTGAACAGATGGGAATGAGGTGAGACTGACTAACGTTACCTTCATCTTCAGAAGCTGTCAAGTGAGAAGACTCAAACACAGCACTGTCAACCTCAGGAGATGGGGAAGTGGCCAAAAAGTTGGAGCCTGTGGACAGAGATGCCTGCTGAGGCTGTCCTGGGAGCTTCTCCAGCACCTCTGTGGAGGCCACAGAGAAGCTGCTACTCCTTTCCCCTGAGCCGTGGGCACTGCTTCTGCCCTCAGAGTCCGTGGTATCCTCAGATGACGATGTCTCTGCCAGGTCACTGAGGGACAACAGTGAAGGGCGCAAGGGAGAGGCAGCATGGGCCACAAAGTTCTTCCCACTGTGGCTTCCTGTTGACAGCCGAGGGGCCAAGTCCTGCAGCGGCTGCTGCACACACGGGGGGATAATCCAGGCAGCTTTGTGCCGTGTGAACCTGACATCTAATTGGCAAGGAGAGGGCCCTGTATCCTGGAAACTGGGCGAACTGTTGGTGTCTCCAGAGTCACAGCTGATCCCTTCCCAGGGGACCAGAGGAGAACCCTGCCAGCCCATGGACTGTGATACCATCCTGCTGGGCTGGAGCCCGTGGGAACACGTACAAAACAGATAGGTGGAGCTCTCTGATGGCTGCCGTCCTATGGGATGATGTCCTTGGGCTCACCACATGGCCACCTGGAGGTCTGAAGAGCTGGCCTTTAACAAACAAGAATCTGTCGAGAGAAACAAAGGTTCACTCCTGTTTTTCCACCTCAAATTATTGTGAGAAGGCAAAAAAAACAACAAAATTTGAACTTTGCTCTATACAATACAGTAAATTCCACGTGTATTTATGACTTAAAAAAAAGTAATCTAGCCACAACACTAGCAGCAAACCTACAGGAACAGGAAACATTTTGCAAAGCAATAAAATAATTGAAGAAGCCACAAAGATCATCTAAAAATGTAAAACAGCCATATGTCAAAACTATTCCACTAAAATTAAATATCAAACCCAAAATGCAAACAGTATCTGAAAGTAAAGACACATTTTCAGAATTTCTTAGTTTTAGCTTCTTGTTTTTTAGTTTAGTTTATTTCAACAAACTAGGCTAGTGGCATATAAAATGGTGGAGGAAATCAGTAGCACTATAATCTTTCTTTTGTGTAACTTATTTATATTATAGATCCAGTAAAATATATTAGTTTATGGCATTTAAAGACCCAATGTAAATCTAGAACCCATCTGTAATATGGCTCCCTCACTTTTAAGCTCTGCTTAGTTTGGAAAACAATGTGATGATCAAAATGTCAAGAGTCGCACCAATGAGAAGACTCTTGTCACTATTGTTGTGGGTCCAGAAAATGTTTCTTTTTATTATTCTCCCTTTGTCCTTGGCATTGTGGATCTTTGACTACAAAAGCAAGGGCAGCCAAGGAAAAGCGGAGAGAGAGAAGCTTAGCCCAAATGACGGGGGTGTGTAGGACAGCAGTGAACAGGAGGCTTCAAGGTCAAGGCCATGGCTTTAAATAGCATCTGTATGTATGGAGAGGACTCCCACCTGCGAATCTCCACTCCTGACTGCCCTTAAACTCCAGGCGAGCACATCCTACTGCCTAGCTGACATTTGTCCCGTGGTATCGTCACCTGCTACATCCAAAACAGATGCTGATTTCCCCTCAAATCTGCTTCTCCCTGCTTTCCTCAGCCTCAGAAACACATTTCCCAGTTGCTGGAGCTTAATGGGTAAGAGCCATTTCTGACCTATCCTTCCTCAGCTCCATGGGCAGGTTCCAGCTACAAGCCGTCACCCCAAGTCTAAGTCATCTGGACTTCAGGCCACAGCTTGCCAGTGGGCTTCCCCAATTCTCTTGCCTGTCCACAGCACCAGGTAGTCAGAGAGCTCTTTTGTAAACCCAAATCAGCATGTCCTTCCCCTAATCAAATCAAATCAAAGCCCCTAATCAAAGGGCTGCTTACCTTGACCTTCGGACTGGACATGCACTGCCCCTGCCGCCTTCTCTCTCCTTCATCAGCCTCGGAGAGACCCAACTACGCAGCAAGCTCTTGAACTAGAGCTTCCTCAGGTGTAAAGTTCAAGGCAACCTTGGCCTGAAACACTCTTCCCCCAGATGACCACACATCTGGCTCTCTCTGGTGCAGCAGGCCCTGGGTTATGAATTACTTCCTCACCGAAGTCTTTCCTAACTACCTCTCTGCAGGCAGTCAGTCCCCTGATCGCCCCTAGCACATCACCCTGTTTAGTTTGCATCACAGGGGTGCTCACTTCCTAGAGTTTCCCTTTTTTAGCTCTTTACTGTCAGTCTCCCCACCCTGCACCCCCTAACCTGGACTATAAACTCCCAGGAGAGCAAAGGCCTTTCCTGGTCTTTGCCACATCACATGCCCTGTACCTGGAGTTGTATATGGGGCTAAATAAATATTTATGGACCAAATGAACTTCCAACAAAGCAGAAATAAAATTAAGACATAGAAAAAAATATGATTATCCTATTACTGGGTCAGCATTATTCATACAGGGATAGAATTGAATTCACGTTTTCTAAAGAAATGAAATTTTTGTCACTCAAGGCTTATGCTCATATGGTATAAATTCAAACATACCAAAGAACCCACATACAAAAATTGTTCTCAAAAGCACTTGGGTTTTTAGCCAGGCATAGTTGCATGCCTGAAATCCCAGCACTTTGGGAGGCTGAGGCAGGAGGATCCTGACTTCAAGCTCAGCTTCAGCAACTTTGTGAGTTAGAGAGACTTGTCTCAAAATAAAAAATAGAAAAGGGCCAGGGATGTAGCTCAGTTCAAAGGTCCAGGGTTCACACCCAGTACTGCGATGGGGAAAAGTCCTTGGGTTTTCTTGACTTGAGGGCTCTGTATTCTAGGTCACACCTTTTGGAGTGACACAGGTGAGGGAGATAGCCTTCATAAAATACTGAAACTGTCTCCTGAAAATAAATCTTCTGAAAATACTGCACAAGCCCCAGATCACCATTCACAAAATACAGTACCACAAGATGGGGCTGCCTGTGTCAATAGCCAGAACTCAGCATACCAAAGCGATTTGTAATCCTTTTCCTGACCTCAAATCCCACCTAGTGCTCCAGTTTCTCTCTGTCACACATCTTTCCTCTCCAGTAATTTTGGATTTTATACTTACTAAGGAAACCACGTCTAGGTCTCTACAACATGCCCCAACAGGGCCAGGGATTTAGCTCAGTGGTTTCGCCACCTGCTGCACAAGCGCAAGGACCCGAGTTTGATCTCCAGTACCAAAAAAAAAAAATGCCCCAACACAGAAACCTACAGAGTGAAGAGCTCCTGTGGCACTGAGCTGCACCAACCCTACTTCCTTCTCAGAAATAACACTGTTAGCCCTTTCCCTAAGTGCACTGAGCAAAGACACACTTCCTTATAACAGGCAATTTTTAGAAGTAGATGCTGGCTCTACTTTCTTTTATAAAGGTATCTTTGCTTCACACAAATGACCAGCAACCGCTGGCTTTGCCAGGTTATAAAATCAGACTGTATTAGAGCTGGAATAGGTTACAGAGCTTCAAAACTATAGCCAAGCAGTGGTAGAGAGAGGAAGAAAAACAAGGCTGGACACTGGGCACATGACCTTCTGTGAGAGGCAGGCTGACAAGAGGAGTGATGCCTAGCCACAACCAACTCCAGGCCCTAGGGACTGCAGGCCAAGTCGCCATGTTCCGATCTTTAGGCAGGAGGTAATTCACAGGGGCCATCACATCATAGCTGAGGGTATTACTTGTCACATTGCTTGGGGTCTGCTGGTCAATTTAAAAATATTTATTGAGCATCTACTACATGCTTGGCAGTTTTTGTTTTGTTAGCACTGGGATAACATAACTCAGCTTATGTCCTGGACTAGGAGAGAAAGTGAGCAGGTACACTGATCCCAGCCAGTCCTCCTGACTCCATCAGAAGGGTGCCTGTCAAGAATGACTGCGGCGCCACAGTAACCACACAGCCACAGCAAAGGCTGCAAAGATACACCTTTGAGGAAGGGTCGTGAGCCAGCGTGACCTCTGGCTTTAACACCTGGCAGTTCATCTAACAGTCCTAAAGCTGCTCTATGAACAGGCACAAGCACTTCAGATTTAGGACTTTATCCCAACACTAACTACTCACAAAACGCATAACTGGGAGCATCAGAATAAAGATTCACCTTAACGGTTACCTTCCCGGTGAGTCCAGCCTACTCACCATGTAAAAAAGAGCAACTCCCCTCCTCTTATCCCTAGCCACTTCCCCATCTCGATTTCTCCCCTTTGCATGAAACCCTATTTTACTTAACCTCAAAGGTACCATTGCCTGGAATGTAAAACCCATGAGGGCAGCTGTTATTTAAATTTACTTTGGACACTACTCTGTATCCAGAACCTAAAAACCAGCACATAATAGGTGCTTGATAAATATATTCATCAGGTGTATTGAGAGGATGAACAAACTGATGGACGATACCTAAGTATGGTCATGCCAGTTATTGTCATGGCCCAAGAAAGAAAGTCAAATATAGATGTTATTCTTTAGAAGAAATTCAAGATCATGACCTAAAATGCCTTCTAATTATCTCTTTAAAATACAATATATGAGGAAATAGAAATCATAAAAAGAATTGATGGTGAAAGACAAAATTCATTTTTTATATTTACTTTTCCTTGGAAAAGTTGTATTTATGGTGTACAATATGATGTTTCCAAGTATGCATACATTGTGGGATGGCTAAATTGAGCTAATATATATATTCTCATTTATTTTTTGTTATGTGTGGTGACGACACCTAAAGTCTACTATATACTGTTATTAACTATAGTCACCATGTTGTGCAACAAATCTCCTGAATTTATTCTTCCTCTCTCACTGAAACTTTGTATATTTTACCAACATCTACCCAATTCCTCTTCTTCCCTTGGCCCCTGGTCACCACCATTCTACTCTCCTTTTATGTGTTTGGCTTGTTTTGACTCCACATATGAGTGAGATCGTGCAGTATTTGCCTTGGGGATCAAACCCAGGACCTTAAGCATGCCAGGGAGGAACTCTACCACTGAGGTACGACCCCAGCCCCCTTTTTATTTTTTATTTTGAGATAGAGTCTTGCTAGCTTACCAAGAATGGCCTTAAACTTGCCATCCTCCTGCCTCAGCCTCCCAATAGCTGAAATTACAGATAATTCACCAACCTACCTGACTCAGTATTTGTCTTCCTGTCTGGCTTATTTCACTTATCATAATGTCCTCCAGGTTTATGTACGTTGTCACAAATAACAGGATTTCCTTACAATTTTAAGGCTGAATGGTGGCAGATGTATATATCACATTTTCTTTATTCATTCATTCATTGATAGACACTTAGGCTGACTCCATATCTCAGCTGTTGTGAGTAATGCTGTCATGAACATGGGAGTGCAGATGTCTCTGACATACTGGCCTCATTTCCTTTTGATATATACCCAGGAGTGGAATTGCTAGATAATATTTCTAGTTCTATTTTTGCTGATGATCATTTAAGTTGTTTTTTTCATTTTGCGTATTCATCAGCTAGTTATAATTGCTAGTTCTATTTTTAAATTTGTGAGAAACTTTCATACTGTCTTCCAAAATGGCTGTATTATGTCACATTCCTATGTCACATTCCAGACACCTTCAGTAGCCTGCAAGGGATCCCTTTTCTCCACAACTTTGCCAATAAAATCCACTGCAAACAACTTGCTAAGCATCTCCAATAAAAAACAAATGCAAATGATCAGAGAATGAATAAACCTTTAACAATAGCATGGAAACCGAGACATTAACACAGTTCCCCAGAACCTGTTTCTGTCTCTCTTCATGTCTACTTCCTTTCATGCTTTGATTGTAAGCAAAGATTCACATCCCCAAGGACACTAGCAGACTCTGAAGCCACCATGTCACACAGAAACCATTCAGATGCCCAATAGTGTGAATCCACAGCTTTCAGAGTGGCAGCCAGGAATCAGGGTAGACTACAATTTCATTTGATCGTGACTTCATGACTGATGACATGTGAACACCAATGTTGCAACAAAGGGAACAGGAAGGACACGGTGCCCTATTGTGATGGTGGTTGAGTGACATCATCATCATCATTGGGATTCTTCTCTAACTGACCCTGAACTTTGAAGGTCTGATGTCAGAGAACATAGGAGTGATCCAAAGCAATTGAGAGCAGTAGGTGGGTTGGGGCAAGATGGGGAAGGCCCAAGCAAAGACCAGAGAAAACTAGATGCTTCACCTAAAAGAAGTGCAGAATTGCACAAGGCACACAAATGACTAGCTTCCTCTGGTCATTGCATAAGTCACCCTTACCACTCCCATTCCGCACAGTGAACACCCACAGAATTTCAAGTGTTAATATGACAATATGAGGACTGAAATAGAGGCCATCATGGGACTTGCCCTAACTTTCTCCATTAGTCATCAACAGAAATAGAACAAAAATAAGTCTGACACCTGATCCAGAGCTCTTTCCACTGGAATTCACATTTTGCACATGGGCCGAATGAAATCAGAAGGATATCTAAACTTTCCTTAGCAAAGGAATTATAAGAAGTATCAGATTTGTCACAAAACACAGGACTAAGAACCACACAGCTGGCTGGGCACCACGCACTCAGAAGACTAAGGTGGGAAGGTCACGAGGACCTAGGAGTTCAAGACCAGCCTGAGCCAAACAGCAAGACCTCATCACACACAAGAAAGAAAGAACTAGACATGTAGACATGTATGTCTGACTTCATGTCTCTCCAACAGCTTTTATGATTATTCCATAGCATCTGTATGAAAAGGAATATTTGAGCATAAAATTCTTTTTTTTTTTTGGTACTGGGGATCGAACTCGGGTTCTTGGTCTTGTCCAGCAGGTGGTGAAACCACTGAGCTAAATCCCTGGCCCTTGAGCATAAAATTATTATATAACAGTATTTATTTATAAACACACAGCTATTTTAATATACTACATAATTATAAAGCACACATGAAAATAGCATTTTGTTCTTGCTTTCCAACGAATCACCTTGTATCCTAAAGGTATTATGCCCTCTACTTTGGGGACCACTGCTGAGATAATTTAATGTCCTATGTAAAAAATTTACATACAAAAAGCAATAGTAAGGGCTGGGGATTTAGCTCAGTGGTTTCGCCGCCTGCTGCGCAAGTGCAAGGACCCAAGTTTGATCCCCAGTACCAAAAAAATAAGCAATAGTAGGGCTGGGGATTTAGCTCAGTGGCACCAGGCACCTGCCTCACAAGTGCAAAGTCCTGAGTTCAATCCCCAGTACAAAAAAAAAAGCAATAGTAAATAAACAAAAAAATAGAATAATACATAAACATATTTAGATGACGAAGTAGGACTTTAGAAAAATATATATAAATACAGAAATTTACCCAGAGTTCCAGGTGTATTTCTGAACTTAGAAGATGACAAGATTTTCATGTATGGGCAAATGAAATGAGGAGCCATACTGGAAAATGTATAGTATTTCCTCAAATAGTTAACATACAAGTACCATTTGATCTAGTTAATCTACTTGTGGGTACACACCTAAGAGAAATGAGAATATATGTTCACACAAAAACTTATACATGAATTATTATAGCACCCTTATTCGTCATAAGAAAAATGAAAAAACAACTTAAATGTTCATCAGTGAATGAATGGATAAGCAATACCCTCTACATCCACAAAGTGGAATGTTATTCAGCCACAATTAGAAATGAAGTACTGATTCATGCTACAACATGGATGAGCACTGAAAACATTATGCTAATTGAGACGTCAGACCAAAAATATTTAATATTTATATAAAATTCCAGAATAGGCTATTTTAATATACTACATAATTATGTATTCTATAAAATGACCAGAATAGGCAAATTCATAGAAATAGAAAGTAGATTAGCAGTTGCTTACAATAGAGGTGGAAGAATGGGAATAGCTAGGATGCCAGGTTTCTTTTCAAGGCAATGCAACTATTCTAAAAGCTGTGACAATGGTGGCACACATCTGGGAATACACTGAAAATTACTGAGCTCTACACTAAATGGGTGAATCACATGGCATGTGAATTCCAACTCAATCTCAAAAACACTGTTTTATAAAATGAAATGAGAAGTGCCCCTTTCCTTTTAAAAAGATCCAGGGAGACTAGAGAAGACTGGTGTGCTAAGGACTGCAAGAGTCAAAGAGCAACAGGTGCACATCAGGCTATAAACAAAGATACTGCTCCCATGTGAGAAAGCTAAAAGTAGAAAGTACGTAATGGGGATGCTAAGCAAGGGTATCTAAAATTGATGTGGAGAAGAAAGAGGAAGTAACAAGTAAAACTGTAAAAACAAAGTTATCTAGAAAAAGAAAAAATATCATTAAGGGCTGGTAAGACAATATAGTCAGTGCCAGGGTTACCAACAAAAGGACATGGATCACCAGTGCTTCGGGTCCGCACCTTATCTTTCAATGAACACCAAAGAGGAGGTTCTATGGCCCAATGTACAGATAGGAAACAAAGCCAAAGAGGCTATGTGTTGCAGTGATGTTTTTCTATCTTTTAGAAATATATGCACAAGGCTTTAGAAGTAATTGGTAGGATATCTTAAATCTGTTTTAAAATAATATTGGTGGAGGATGGAATATGGATGAGTCAAAATTGGCCACTGAAGCTGGAAGGAGAGAAAATAAAATGCTCATTATACTGTACTATTCTCTGTATTTTTCCATAAGCAAATTCCTATCAGTGAAAGTACTTTTTTAGCCCAGCGCAGAGGTAGGGGCTTCTGAGCCGCCATCTCACTGCTCCTGGTCCAGAGGAAGGGGCTTCCTGGCCACCATCCCTCCCACTGCTCCCAGCCCAGAGGAAAGGGCTTTTGGGCCACCTTCTGTCCCACCACTCCTGGCTCAGAGGAAGGGGCTTCTAGGCCACCATCCCTACTGCCACTCCCAGCCCCTGTCCCACCTCTCCCAGCTCAGAGGAGGTGATTCACATGGGAGCCAAAAGCACCCCCCTGATCCCCAGTTGAAATGAGAAAACACTTAAATAAGTCTCAAAACCAGTCTACCAGATCATCTACAGCAACCCCAAAGGGAAATGAGATGGAACACTCTGATACTCAACCATCTGGACCCACTGAACTGGAAACCAAAGGGGATCTGGAAAAAATGAAATC